GTATTGCAAATATGTTCCTTGGCACATGGTAGTTGAGAACGCAGCAGAAGTGCTCTGTGTGCACTTGCATGTCATCACATCAGGTGCTGTAAAATGTGCATTTGAGGATAATAAAATAATGAAGATAATTTTCAATGTTTCAGCCAAGACACTTTGAAATGAAACTGGCTTGGAGTTGTGTTTCTGAGGTAAGAAGTGGTGAAGAATAACTACTACTACAGTTAGTAATATAAGCTCCATTTTTACTAAGTTTTACCTCAGCAAATGTCAAAATAGTGAAAAGACAAATGGTGTCTAAGCGATGTTTTGAAAATAGTTTTAACCTCATGGACCTTGTGACAAGTTCTGGGTGACTTCAAGGATTCCACAACCACACTTTGAGAAATGCTTTTCTCAGGGAACCAGGGAGCATCTCCCAAGTGTTCTCTGCCTTTGCCTCCTCATCACTTCCCAACATCCCTCTCCCTGGCTGGCTTCTGCCTCCCTAAGCTGCCTCCCCTGCAGACACAATGGAGAGCAGAGAGAGGACCCTGGAGATGTGGAGCTTGCACTGTCAGGAGAGATGGACACTGAGCAAAGGTGACAAACACACGTGTAAACCCAACCTGAGCCCCTGGCAGGATGGAGTGTGTATATTATGAAAGCAGAGAAGCAGGAGCACTAACTGGCCCCCTTCTGTTATTTTAAATAATATCAAAAGATGTAAAAAATAAATTAAAAACTGGGCCTCCCTGTGGCATCAGGGTTAAGTATCAGTGTTATCACTGTGTGGGACTGAGTTTGACCCCCTGCCAGGCATGGCAGAGCAGACCTCTTCTGTCTCACCCACCGCTCCCCTCAGCAGTGGATTTCAGTGGATCGGCCTGTTCTGCTCCCCACACTGTCTCTGGTGAATCCTCTCACCCTCTGCACCTCTGGCCTACACCCCAGCTCTTATATAAATAAATAAATAAATAAATCTTTAAAAAACGAACAAAAGAATACCCTGCAGCATCAGGTATAAGATCCATCTCAGACCCAGCAAACAGCAGAGACTGGGGACCCAGTGGTGGTACAGGTGCTACAAGACACTATGGGGGACTCAGTCAGCGGGAGCCAGGCTTTGTCGTCAAATGAGTTTGATGCCAAACTACAGAGGGTCAGTCCACCCAGCACTGCTGAGCCAAGAAGCCTGGGCTGGTCCACAGCCCCAGTCAGCAGTCAGGTACCACCTGGGAGACTCAAGGATAGCTTTTAAGTTTGACTTAATCTAGCCCTTTATTTAATTTCTCTATATCCATATCTAAGTGATACATTTGTCTTTCTCCGTTAGGCTTATTTCCATTAGCTCCATCCATGTTGCCCCAAATGGCATGAGTTTATGTTTCTTGATGAGTAGTATTCTATTATCTATGTACAACCCCTTACACAGCTCAGCTACTATAAATAGTGTTGCAGTGATGGGGGGCGGGGGGTACAGGTTTCCTTTGAAGTAGTGTAACATCCTCTGCGGGTGTGCTGGCACCTGCTGCCCTAAGGGAAGCTGGAGTCCCTGAGAGCACCTGCTTACTCTGCACAGGAGGTGCCAGGAGGTTAGAAATTCTGCAAACAGAACTTCTTCCCCAAATGAACTCCTGTTCCCTGAGGACATGCTGACTTGTGTGCATGATCCCTACTAATTAGAAAAACTTGTTCCAGCAGTAACTTATTCATGTGTATAAGCATAAACACAAATGCACGCTGTTTCCTTATCCCTTTGTTCATATCTTTAATAAGAGCTCAGGCTGGGAGAGTGAGAGGCAGGGCCGCTCTAGAGGGTTCTCCCCAGCCTCCCCCTGCTGCTAATTCATTTAGACTTCAAATCCAGTTCATAGCTGAGAACTTCTCATGGGCCGTCTGAGGCAGGGTAGATACCTTGGAATGGGACTGCTGGGTCCTATGGCAGATGCTCAGTTAATTTTCTAAGAAACCTGCATACTGTTTCCCATCAGGGATGAGCCAGTCTATATTCCCCAAAATAGTGCAGGACTGTCCCTTGTCTCCATGTCCTACCAGCTCTTGTTAGGTCTGGTCTTTTTGATATGGGCCATTCTCACAGGTATGAAGTAGTTTCTCATTATATTTTAAATCAAGGGATCTTGAATGGATCAAGAAGATGGGGTACACTTCAGTCCAGTGAGAATGCCCACATTAAAAATGAAAAAAACAGAAACATCAAATGCTGGAGAGAATGTGGAGAAAAAGGAACTCTCCTGCATGGCTGGTGGGAATGCAAACTGGTCCAACCATTATTCAGAGCTGTGAGGAGGACCCTCAAATTACTACAAATGGATCTACCTAATGATCCAGCAATTCCATTCCTAGAAATCTACTCAAAGGACACAAAAACACTAATTCAGAAGGAAAACTGCACTGCTATGTTTATTTCAGCAATATTTACAGTAGCCAAGATATGGAAACAAACCCAATGCCCCCAAATCAACAAATGAGTCAAAAGGTTTTGGTATATTTAAACAATAGAATATTACTCAGTGATGAAAAAAGACAAACGCATCCCATTTGCAGCAACGTGGAAGGAGCTAGAAGGAATTATGCTCAGTGAAATAAGTCAGAAGGAAAAAGAAAAACAACAGATGGTTTCACATATAGGAGGAATACAGGGGAAACAAATAAGATGTAGGGGGAAAATAATAACAGTATAAAGCACAACAAAGCAAAACAAAAAAACAGACAATTATAAACCAGAGACATCCCGCAGGGGAGCCTGAGGGAGAGGGATGGGAAGGAGGGAGGGAGGCGCACAGGGGGCTGTGGGCATGGTGCACGGCTGCATTGGTGGAGGAACTTCTATGGGGACTACACCTGAGGAGAAAAAACAAACATTGTTTAAAAAGAAACAATGATGTAAAATATATATAAATAAGTTAATTTAAAAAATAAAAATAAAAGAACTTTTACAGTTAAAAAAAAAGTCTTATCTCCAATCCTGGTAACAAACACGGTAACAATGCTTGTCTGTCTGTGCTCACCTCCAGTGTGGCCATGAATACAAGGAGATTCATCCTGACACTATAGTGGGGAGGGAGGTGGGGAACCAGTCTGGGTTTATCTGAAATCCTCTCCCTGCTGCACAGGGAGGGTTACCCTGGAATAACATTACATCTTCCAAGAGCTGAAGGATCCTGCCCCATCTCTCCCTCCCTTCCTGCTCCTTAAATGAAGGCTCAGCTCAGTAACTGGTGTGACCTGGGCTAATCCTGTCCCTGGGCCAGGCTAGCAGGGCACACACACTGTGTGACTCCCTCCAGCTCTGGTCTAGAGAGAAAGTAGCTGCAGCCCACGGAGGCAGTGACCCCTGGGAAACAGAGGGGATGCCAGGGTGGACCTCCCTGACTCTGAGGCCTGTGTATTTTCTACAGTGACCCCAAAGAAGAAGAGCTTGAAGTGAACATTGGGGGTTGGGGAGGGAACTGTCAGGTGCAACCACATCCTGGCAGGGGTCTTGAGTGGGTCCTACCCAGCTCCTTCAGCTCAGTCCAACCACAACATATTTCTAAACTTCCTTCTATTCTGAGACCCAGTGCTTCTTCACGTCCTGCTCAAAGACAGCTTCTTCCTGGAACTGTACTGATTGAGGTGTTGTGCTGACATTCTCCCTCTCTGTGAGATTTGAATTTATTTATGCTAGGACTTGATGTATAATTCTCCCCTATTTTCTTATGCTGTGTGCCCTGTCTCTCCTGTTACACACACACACACACACACACACACACACACACACACACTCCCCTCTCCTTGGGAACCAGACCCTCACTCAGCACTGGGGTTACTCTGACTCTCTGTCTCTGGTCCCCTCAGAGCCACCTTCTCTGCAGTGTCTCTACTTAGTGGTCTCTGAGCAGCCCCAGGAGTCCCTGCACCTCCTGCCTCTGCCCTTGTGGGAAACCAGCCCCTCACCCTGCATGACAGTGAGGAGGTGAAGGCAAAGTCCTGAGGTCAGTGATGGATGGAAAAGACAATTTTTCTTTTGCTCAAGATAGTTTCTCCCCCCAACCATGATTGTATTATTTCTACTGAGGTAACATGGGTTTACACACTGTATGTGTGCAGAGGCACAGGGTCACACCTCTTCAGGTGTTTGTTACCACTTCACACCCACCTAAGGGTACCACAGTCCTCACCACCATCACCCGGCCCTCTTCGCACTTTGTTTCCTACATCACACTCCCTCCCTCCCCTCCCACATAGCCTCATATTTCTTTTTTTTTTTTTAAGAGAATTTTTTTTTAAAGATTTATCTTTATTTATTTATACAAGCACTGGGTACAGTCAGAAGTGCGGGAGGGTAAGAGAATTCACCAGAGCCAGAGCGGGGAGCAGAGCAGGCAGAAGGACCGAAATACACTGCTGAGGGGAGCAGCAGGCGGCAGAGAGGTCTGCGCGCCATGTGGGACCCTCCTCCGGTGGCCGGGGAGCAGCCGGGGATCGAACCAGCGCTGCAGAGGCTGCGGGCAGCTTCGCAACCCAGTTAATTGGGTTCTCAACTGCTGCACCACTGGGGAGGCCCTCACATAGCCTTATATTTCTAGAGTATGTTTTGGTTTAGTCTTGTCTGTCCCTGCTTGGTTTCTTTATATTCCACTAATGAGTGACATCACTCAGTATTTGACTTTCTCATTCTTACTTATTTCACTTAGCATAATCCCCTCCACATCTGTCAATGTTGCTGCAAATTCAACTTTTTCACAGCTGAGTAGTATTCCATTGTGTCTGTCTACCACCTCTTCTTAACCCACTCATCTGTCATTGGGCACTGAGGTGTTTCCATAGTTGGTTATTGTGCTCAGGCTGCAACAAGCACAGGAGGCGCATATCCTTTGGAATTAGTGTTTTTACCTCCTTTGGATATATACCAAGGAATGGAATACTTGACCATATGGAAGGTGTATTTTCGGTATTTTGAGAAATCTTCTTTTTTTTTTTTTTTTTTTTTTTGCCTAGGGGCAGGACTGTAACAGTGTGATATCCACAGTAAAGGAGGTTCTGTTACCAGGCAGGGTGAGAGAACCCAAGACTCCCAAACCTGCCCACGCTAAATGGGTTCTGCCATCTGCCTCATGAAAACAAAACATACTCTAGTGCATAAGACATTTAATGGGAAGGACTTTAATACAATCACTGTGTAAGAAAGAGAATGAAGGAACAGAATAGAGAATATGTTTCCCAATCAAGCACCCCAATTTACCCATCCCCTTGTGGGTCACCTCAGCCAAACAATTTGATCCAAAACAGGGACACTGAGGCCCCCAAATCTGTCAAAAGTCTAAGGCACCTTCTGGTGGGGACCCATAGGAAAGGGGCAGAAAGAGCCAGACAAGTCTGGAAGGAAAAGAGCAAAATCAAAATCAAGATAAATGTTGCCACTGTAATCTCCCCATAGGTGTCTCACCCACATCTGTTCCCAGTGTCTCCTTCCATGTCCCCCAAGTCTCTGGCACAAGTCCAAGGCTGAGAAGCAATCACAGCTTCTTCACCTGTTCCCAGCTTTTCTGCTGTTAGAGCCTGGAAGGGAAGGTGATGGCCTGGAACTGGGATTTAATTAATTAATCTATTTATTTATTTATTTACTCTAGTGCATAAGATCTCCAATAGAAGAGGACTTCAACACACTTAGTGAGCAATAAAGAGAACAGAAAGACTATAGTTAGTTACTAAATGAAACACCCAGAGTTACCATTCCATTGCATGTAAATATCCAGCCAAATAGAGTTGGCCCAGAGCAGGACCGCTGAGGCCTGAGGGCTTACAACAAGAATAAGGCACTTTCTGGTGGAGACTCATAGGAGAAGGGCAGAAGCGGCCAGGCAAGTCTGGAAGGAAAAGAGCAAAATAAAAATGATACAGGGCAAAAGAGGCATGAAAGCTGACCAAGGTCACTGCTCAAATTGTTTACCAGTCTGAGTTCTTCCCCCGTGCACACAATTACAAAACCACTCAGCCTCAGAGGACAACAATAATGGGGTTTATTTAAAAACCAGGGAAAAACAAAGAGTTACTGAGACCACAAATGGCCATTTACCTCACCTGAAGCAGTGTCCAGTCTTTTAAAGTTCTAAACACAAATGTTCCCAAGTAGCGTCTTCCTGCCACTGGGGACCTGGAGCATGTGGCCGCCAGACCATAGGCCGGGATCCAACTCACGAAGAGAGCAGAAGACACAACAGGAGATGCTCAACGGAGCTGCTGAGATGCCCCAGCACAGCACCAGACAAACGACACTCAAAACAGCTGCTGCAGCGGCCGAAAGGCCTGGCAAATGGCTACACTGAAAGCTTAGAGAGGCGCCCGGCTCCAGGTCTCGCCTTCCCTGCCAGGCTGTGACAGCAGCAAAACCGGGAACAGTTTCAGTCACTCAGCTACTTGTAAAGCCTCCAAACATTTCCTCTCTTAGGTTGGTTGCAGAATACACAAATAAATGGACATATATACCTTTTCCTTTTAAGAAAGAACAAATTGCAAAATTTACAGTACCTGAATTCAACATTTACTAAAGCTGCATTAATCAGGACAGTGTGATCCTGGCCTAAGTCCTGACAGGCATCAACAGAACAGATTAGAGTGTCCAGAAATAGATACACTTGGGCAATCACTTAATTTTTAACAAACACAGCAAAGTAATGCATTGGGTCAAGGAAAACCTTTTCAATGAAAGGTATGGGAACAATCAGATATTCAACTGGAAAGTTTATTTAAAAGGAGCCTGAATATTCTTCAGCATTGCTCTCATCCAGCACCACACTCTGCTCTTACCCTTTTCTAGTGACACATTAGTAATGTATCACTACTGATTCGTGTCAGCAATCAAGACAGCATTTCCACTATTCCAGCGCTATTCCTAATACAGGGATAGCACCTTCTCTTTATTAAAAAAAAAACTTTTTAAATTATTAAATAGCAGTAGTCATTAATAACAGTTCCAGTATTAAAGAAAAAGTGCATTGTCCATTATCATACAACTCAGGAATCACTGAAATTGAGATGATGTTTTTAAGCTTCTACAAATGATATCATAAAATTTGTATAATGCCTTTTTCACCTAATACTATTTTACACGTGCTTCTCTTTTTTATGATTCCCTGCAATTTTATTATTTTTGTTTGAATGTAATGTGACCATATTAGCTTTCACTTCAACTTATTCTCATGACATTTGATATTTCATTTCCCAAAGAAATAAATTTTAACGGCAAGCTATGGCGAAATTGCATATCTAGTAAACATCTATTTCTAGAGTATTGAACAAACTCATGACTCTTCTATGGAAATTTCACATTTCACAATCCTTTATCAAAAATGTAATTTGACTGTTGAGCAAGCAAGGAAGCAAGGGTAGAACAAATTTATTTTTAGTTTTTTTTGTTATATTAGACATATTTTTTGTACTTTGTATACTTAGTTATAACACTGACCACTGGGAAATTTAGGGTAGGTTTCAAAACTGAATATTTCAGGGGCCTCCCTGGTGGCACAAGGGGTTAAGACGCAACCTATGAGGCTATCCTCAGCCACTGAAGCACGAGTTTGATCCCAGGCCAGGGAGCAACCCACGTAGCACAGCATCCCTTTCCTGACTCGCCCACTGCTCCCCTCAGCAGTGTATTTCCGTTGATCTGCCTGTTCTGTTCCCCACTCTGTCTCTGGTGAATCCTCTCACCCCCCAACCCTGCACCCCTGGCCTGTACCCCAGTTCTTGTATGCATAAATACTGCTGACTGTTGAAGTTCAGGCAACATGAACTAACTGACCAACTATGGTCTCATCCAGGAATTTCAACATTATGTACAAGAATAAAGTTTGCCACTTCATGTGGCCTTCCACTATAGGCCACTTTGTGATGTGAAGACAAGAGAGAGGCAAACTTCAGGGAGAAAGAAGACAGGAGGAAATGCAAAAAGGGGAAGCAGATTTGGACCAAGAGCACTTCCTGGAATCTGTCAGCTTAGTTGCAGGTTTCACTTCCTTCCAGAACTCCAGTGCATTCCTGCCTTTGAAACCTGTGAAACCTGTGAAACCTGTGAAACCTCAATCATGGCAACACCCAGCTCCCAACTTACTTTATTTCAGATCAAGTTTCTGTTAAAGAGGCCCATACACTACAAAAAGAATATGACTTGTGGGAGATTTTCTCTCATCGGCAACCAACCCTCCTCATGTTTAGTATATTCTTTGACGTTGCCCTTGGAGAGATTTAGTCCTTCAACCTAAGGGGTCCCTGTGAGCTATAAACTTGGTGTTTCCAGCTCACTTACTGAGGTGCTGATAGAACTACCCAGGTCATCTGTGTTTTCTTGAAGTCTCAGTGTCAAATTTGTATGCATATTTTCCTGGCTTGAGAAAAATACCTCATCAGAATGCATAAGATTCAATAATCAGTGACTCCTTCAAGTAGTTTAATTCTAGTGCCTTTCTAATCTTGGAAATGAAATCAAATTTAATTTGCTCTATTATTGTTCCCAATGTAGTCAATAATGGCAATACTCTGAGAAGGAAGCATTTGTTGATTTTTGAATGTTAATCTGCTTTCAAAATTTTTGTTGGGTGAAACATAAATTTACCTGGCATATTTTCAGTGACTACCACAAGAAGAATGACATTCACTAACAAAATTAAAATATTTTTTTTTATATAGAGGCATGTTTTCATTTATTTATTTATTTGTTTGTTTTTTGTTTATACATGCACTGGGTACAGTCAGAAGCACGGGAGGGTGAGAGAATTCACCAGAGCCAGAGCGGGGAGCAGAGCAGGCAGAAGGACTGAAGTACACTGCTGAGGGGAGCAGGACCGCAGGAGAGGTCTGCGCGCCATGTGGGACCCTCCTCCAGTGGCAGGGGAAACCCAACCTTAGTCAGGGAGGGAAGGTGACATCACCAGTGAGGATCACGTGCAGGTGACTCTCCAGGGCTCTGTGCTGAGAATGACCCTTCATGTTTCAGTTTTTTTCCCAACCGCATCACCCCAGGCAGCCAAACTCAACTTGTCAAGACCATCAAAACTAGGGAGAGTCTGAGAGACTGACTCAGCCAGAGGAGCCTCAGAGACGTGACTGGGACTTAATGTGGTATCAGGATGGGAGCCTGGAGAAGCCAAAAGAAACACTAACCACACCCAAGTCAGGTATGGGGATTATTCATAACATGTGACTATTGCTCCATTGGCTGTACAGACAAGACAGAGAGATCCACGTTAACAGAGAAAAGGCGTGTGGGATACACAGGAATCTTCTACCAATTTTTATATAAATTAAATTATTTAAAATAAAAACATTAAAACAGGCCTCAGGAAAGGCACAGGGAGTGGAAGGGAAAAGCATCTGCTTTGCGGTCTCTAGGGTGTGGTCATCAAGGGGCTGCAGAGGGAGGCTGTGGGGAGAGAAGATGGCGCCTCAGACACGGGGCAGCTCCAGAGCCTCCTCTCCTCTCCTCCACTCCCCCCACCCGGCCTGGTGCCAGGGCTGCTCACAGGGCACCTTCACCCCCTCCCCCAGGGATGCTCAGCCCCAGCTCACCCTCTCAGCCTGAGTCACACACACCCAGCCTCTCCCCTGGCTGCCAGACTAGGACAGCGCCGCAGCGCCCCCGTGTGGCCACAGGGCTGAGGACAGAGGGGGAGAACCCTGTGATCTCCTAGGTTCTCAGGGTCTCCCAGAAGGACAGGGCTGTGCACAGGAGGGGGAGCCCCATACAGCTTACGGTTCTCAGTCTGACCTGTTTCCTAATACACGCTGACATGATGGCCCCTGTCCACTAATCACCACAGACTTTGGTTCAGGCAGGAGCAGATCCCCAGGCCATAACAGCTGGATAATGACCAGGGTGGGCCCCACAGCATGCCAGGTGCCCTCAGTCTCCTGGGATGACACCTTGACCCAGTGTCCCTGTCACTTGTTCCAGCTGCTGACTCCAGGGATGGAGGCTCCTTCTCCAGGGAATCAACACTAATCCCTCCATCCCCAGGATGGGCTGGAAGAGGGGTAGGAGGAGAGACCCTCAGGGTCATGGGCTAGAAAGAGGGGAGGCTCCTGGAGCAGAGGGAGGAAATAGGGGCTTTAGGGGAGGGAGGCCAATAGGAGTAGAGGGGGAGGAGCCAGATGGTGGGGGCAGAGAAGGGTCAGCTTAGTGGACACTGGGCAGCGGGGATGGTCTGTGTGGGAGAGGCCCAGGGGCTCTGGCTGGGGTTGGGATAGTCTGTTTTCAGTTGGGCTGTCACCACACAGATGTTACTCTGTGATCAGCTGGGAAACTGTACTTAAGTGTAAGGCCTTCTCCAGGCAGAGACATAAGGTATAATTCAAACACACAGGGAAGAAAGGGAAAAGAAGATAGAGGGGGTCATCTAGGGGCCTCCTCTTCAGAGCAAAGTGCCCTTTGCTGGGGTGACAGGGAGAAGCAAGGAGCCCAGAGGGGGGGAGCACAAGGCCTGTGTCTCCTGCTGGGGGCAGCCCTCCCTGTGCTGGGACCTCACAGCCCAGTCTGAGGCCATCACAGCTCACAGCCCTCAGTGCCTGGACACTGTCCTGGCACCAGGAATCCCTGCACCAGGAGGAGTGGCCCAGGCCTTGGACTCCTTGTTCTGGAGCACAGAGGCAGGAGGTAGGTGGAGCCTGGAGTCTGAGGAGGCCACAAGATCAATGGAAGGGGCCTTGACTGCTGACTCACTTCTCCCTTAAAGGGAAAGTATCTCCCCATCCCCATGCTCCAGGGCAAGTACCCAGGGCGAGGCCACCCAGCTTTTGGAGCCTAGAGAGTGGCCCCTCCCCCCCTCTCCGTACTTGGGAGCCAGAACCTGGTGTCCTCTCTCTTTGCCCCCTTCCTGGGCCTAAGAGATGCCCTCAGGGCTCCTGACTCTTAAGTTAAAGGCCTGGTGATACTGGACACATCGACTTTTGATCTTCAATATTGACCTAGGGGGGAGTTCCCAGAGTCCCATAGGTGGCAGCTGCACCAGGCCTTCCAGTGGGGCAGAATGATCAGAACCTGGACATAAGACTGGGGCCAGAAGGACTTTAATGCCAAACAAACCTACTACCTGCCAGGGGCCCTCCCAAATGCAAGAATCTGCAGAGGC